CTGAGTGAATAGTGGTCGGCCATCTCCTAGGGTGGTCTCCACACTCAATGCAAGCTAGTGGTGTGGTGAGAGACCAGCAATTGTGGCTCAAAAGTCAAGGAGACCAGCTACCTGACAAGAAAAATCGGCCAGCGGGGAAAAGTGGTCTCCAAGAAGAAAATGTGGTCTCCCACCCTTGTACTACCTTCCAAACAATGAAAATAGGGTCCATGCAAAAAATAAACCAAGACGGATGCAAAATCAGGGTTCGGGGGCCAAAACACGTAGCCGGGTGCCCCGAAAACTGACTGTTAAGCATTGAAAGTGGCATGCGACCACGAAGGTGGTCTCCCGGGCCACAGTGTCCCTCTAGAGAGAGGAAACAAGGTGTGTGCCAAAAACCGGAGCAAACAAAGAAAGTTAAGTTGTCCCGAACCGAGGCGCACGGCCGATGGCTCCAAAAATCGGAAAATGGTCTCCAAACGGGAACAGTGGCCTACGACCACGAAACGTAGCCTGCGACCACTGATAGATGGTCTACGAGACCGCTCCCTCCTTTCGAGAAGAGAAAACAAGACTTGGTTCGTAAACCGAGGCAAAGCACAAAAGGGTCCCGAGGTTTGGGAGTAAGGCTCTCAGCCGAAACTCCAAAACCTCAAAACGAGCACAACATGCACCATCACCGAGCGCTCAATCGATGACGTCTGAATCTTAAGGTCGGTCAAAAATGGGGTGTCTACATCGCCAAAAGTGGTCTCCTTTTTTTTCTACTAAAAAATTTATTTTTACATAAATTATGTTCAATAAAAAATAATTATGTTTATATATATACTTTTATATTAATACGGATCTAAGTGCTATATAAATAATATATGTTGTATATATAATCATATGATGTTATGGAGGCGTAATGGAAGCAGTGTGTTGTATAAAGTTTATAGTGTGGGAGGTTGATGGTTCGAATCTCCACAAGTGCAAGGTGTAATTTAGTCGGTAAATGTATAATTTAAAAAAATATAATTGACTATTGGCGACTAAAAATTTAGTCGCCAAATGTATAATTTAAAAAATATAATTGACTATTGGCGACTAAAAATTTAGTCGCCAAATGTATAATTTAAAAAATATAATTGACTATTGGCGACTAAAAATTTAGTGGTAAATGTATAATTTAAAAAAATATAATTGACTATTGGCGACTAAAAATTTAGTCGCCAAATGTATAATTTAAAAAATATAATTGACTATTGGCGACCAAAGTTTTAGTCGCTAAAGACTTGCTTTTTGGCGACTAAAAATTGACTTTTGGCGACTAAAAATTTAGTCGTCAAATGTATTTTTTCTTGTAGTGTGTGAGTGATTTTTGTAACATATATATATATATATATATATATATATGTGTGTGTGTGTGTGTATATGTATATGTAATAAATATAATCGAGGCAGGATTTGGGTGAAACGAGGCAAGGAAAGCAAAACCCATCCCTACCTCACTTCTTAATCAGGGCAGAAAAACTTCGTGCGAGGCAGGGCAAAACGGGGGATGCGGATGTAGAACGGGATGGAAGAAAATGACCATTCCTTAGACTGATTAATTCAGGAGCCAATTCTGCTGTTCACTTGCAGGGATCTCAATGAAAACCAAGAAATTAGTTCCATTCATCAATTGCATTTATTAAATACAAAAATCAGAAGCAAAGGATAAATGTCACTATAACATATATGAGTTTTAGAGATTAAATTTTTTTTTGTTTCTAAAAGTGAAAAATTATAAAAGACATTTAAGGACCAATTTCTATCGTCGTGAGGATAGTCGCTAAAGGGTCATCCCGAAAAGTAAAACATAAGGTTTTTAGCAACAAATTTTTGAAAATATTACTAATAAATACACTTTTAGGGACAAAATAATTTGGTCTCAAAAGAGTTTATTTTTTTAGACAAAAAAATCGGTTTCAAACGGATAATTATTTATGACTAATATCCAATTTTCGTTGCTAAAAATATAATAATGATACTTTTCACAACAAAAAAATATTTGGTCCCTAAATTTTGGTCTCTAAAACCTTGATTTTTTGTAGTGTGTCACAATTAGAATTATAGGCATCATCAATTACAGGCATTAAATTTGTACAAATGAATGGAAAAATTATACCAGTGGTCTCTACATTTTGTTTCTTGTATTATTTTGATCCTTACACTTTCAATTCACTCAATTTTGACCCTTAATTTTAGATTTAGTGTCAATTTGATTCAATTAATAATGTCATTAGTGTTTTTGACTGAAAATAATCACTGAATTAGTTGAGATTAACTCACCGAATTGAGTAACTTTATAATTTTGTTCTTAAAAATATAACACATGCCAGTTATATGTGTATTTTTTTTTATATAAAGAATTCTAAGAGTTTTAATCAATTGAACCAAATTAAAATAAAATAAAAAATTTAGAGTCAAAATTACGTCAATTGAAATTATAAAGATCAAAATAATATAAGAACCAAAGTATAAGGACTAATGTCGTAATTTACCCAATGAAAAACTTCAAGAATCATTTAACTTGTTTTGTTTTGGTTTCCAGAAAACACTTTTCAGAAATTCTATTTTTTTATTTTCTGTATTTTGTTTTTTCAATGAATCTTTTTAATATATTAAGCAAATTTTTTTAATTTTTAGACACACGTAACATAAATATACTTAAAAAATATAATATTTGTGAAAAAAATCTATAAAAAAATCACCAAATACCAAAAAATATAAAAAGAAAAATACAAAAATTCAGTACATTTTATTTTTATTTTTATGTATTTATTAATTCTTTAAAATATTTTTTCACAAATATTTTATTATTAGATACATCTAAGTAAGATTCATCTAAAAATGTAAAAAAATTGCTTAAAATTTTAAAAATATTCACTAAAAATATAAAAAAAAACACGAAAAAACAAAAAATAAGGTTGCGTTTGGTAGAGTTTTGTAAATATGATTTGAGAGTATGAGTTGTATTTTGAGTTTGTGAGTTGTAGAATTATGATTTGAGTGTAGAAAATTTGTTTGTTTATGATTTTTTAATAGAGTTTTGAATTGTATGTGGAATTGAGTTTTAAAAGTTTGATGTGACATGTGAAATAAGAGAATTTGTTTGGTGATGAGTTTTCAAAATAGTTTTCAAAACTTAATTCAACCTATAATTGATAATCAAACACACAATTCATAACTCGATATTCATATTTTTTATCAACAGTCATAACCAAACTATTTTTAAAATACTCAAATAAAAAAAATGATTTTTTTTAATTAATTGTTTTTAGGTAATTTTTTTGAATAATTTTTTTTTCAAATACTTTTTTTTTTTCAAATAACTTCTATGTCAATTAATTTTTCTATCAATTTATTTTTTAGGCCTGTATAAACATTAAAAATATTTTAAAATTATTTAGAAAATTAAAATATTAAAAATATTCTGAAAAATAAAATATTAAAAATATTCCGAAAATTAAAATATTAAGATATTTTTATGAAAATTAAAACATTAAAAATATTCCTATAAAATAAAATAAAAGTAAGGTTTTTTGGCGACTAATATAAGTAAGGTTTTTTGCGACAAAATATTTTTAGTTGCTGAAAATGTGATATTTAATTTTTTTTCAATGCTTTTGGAGACTAAAAAATTAGTCGGCATTTTAGTACATTTGGCAACTAAAATTTAGTCGCCAATTACTTTTCCCGGCAATCCTTTAGCGACTACTCTTGCGACCAAAAAATTTAGTTGCTAAAAGGTTTCGGCGACTAAAAGGTGACTTTTGGCTACTAAAAATTTAGTCGCCAAAAGTGTAAATTCTTGTAGTGAGTCCTAAGTAGACACCAATTGTCATGACCCCAACATGCCCCTATAGATTAGAGTCATAACCGACCAGTAATCACGAGATTAATATTAAAAAATTACAAAAATCAAAACATATTTAAATATTAAAATATTTAAAATCTTAACAAAATTAAAATATTTTTAAAATATTTAAATATTTAAAAAATTAAAAAACTAATTTGAATTGAGTTTTGAAAAGAATTTTGAATTATGTGTTTGGTTATGAGTTTTAAAAAGTAATGATTATGTTTTGAATTGAGTTTTGAGAAATGGGTGTAGAATTATAATTTGAAAGTTCAAAACAAACATCACACTCAAATCAATTGGTGGAACTATAATTTGAGAGATTTATCAAACTTAATTTTTAGAAAACTGAATTCAGAAAATTAAAATCAAACACAATGATTGGTATGAATTACCCAAGAATTAATATATTAATGGTTGAACAAATACAGATTCAGAGATCCACACCCAAATAAAATCCACCCCGATTACGTGATCTCCCTAAAGCTAAGCTAACAGAATACTCGTACAAGCTAACAAACCATTCAAGTACCTAGCATGATATAATCCGAGTAGTGTTATATAAATAGATGAAATAATCAATAAAACTTGAACAAAATGATTTGGCTGCATTGTGGGCTTATATTTCGATTGGAAACAAAATACTCGTTCAGATGATACTTAATTATAAAAATGCTATTAACACATCATTTTAGAAAAGAAAAGAGAAAAAAAAAAAAGTACTCTTAAAAAAAAATTTATTAGAACAATATTAGTGTAACATTTTTACAATTAACAGTTATTTTAGTAATTTTTTATTTTAACAATATTTTGTTCAATTTTTATGTTTATTTTTTTTATTTTTTTTATTGTGTAGTATATCATTATTCTATGATTATTAAGTGAATCAAAACCCTGCCTAAACCCTATGCTCAAATTTTAGAGACAACATCAAGATTCCAAAAAGTCAAAGCTTGTGAAGGAAAAAAAAACAAAAAAACTTATAAGCTCGTGCAAACACGTTTTGGTGTATGTCCAAAATTCTCAACAAACAACTAACTTAATCAGATTTAGGTCCTCCAACATGGGCACCACCTTGTCATCTCCTATTTATGTGTTTCCCTTCAATATTTCCCAACATCACACCTCAACTCAACCTAACCAACCATGGCATACCCAACCTCTTTCCTATTCCTCTCATTGCTTCTATTTTTTTGTGTTTCAACCTTGCAAGCACACAAACTAGACCACAAGCCCAACGAAACCACACTAACCTATCTCCCAAGATTTCCATATCCACACAAGAAACTCATGAACACCATAGACTCTTGTTGGCGATCGAACCCTAATTGGGCTTGGGACAGACAAGCCTTAGCCGACTGTGCAATAGGTTTTGGCAACGGGGCCATGGGAGGGAAGTACGGTACAACCTATGTCGTCACCGACCCCTCTGATGACTCCGTGAATCCAAAACAAGGCACGCTTCGATATGGTGTGATCCAATCAGAGCCACTTTGGATAGTTTTCGAAAGGGACATGTTTCTCACTCTAAAGAATGAGCTTATGGTTAACAATTTCAAGACTATAGATGGGAGAGGTGTGAAAGTTGAGATAGCGAATGGACCATGTATTACGGTGGAAGGTGTGAGCCATGTGATTATACATGGGATTAGCATTCATGATTGTAAACCAGGGAAGCCTGGGCTGGTTCGAAGCACGGCTGAGCACGTTGGTCATAGGTTGGGATCGGATGGAGATGCGATTAGCGTGTTTGCGTCTTCGAATATATGGATTGATCACTGTTATCTTGCTCGTTGCACAGATGGACTTGTTGATATCATTCATGCCTCTACTGCTGTTACTGTCTCTAACAACTACTTCACCCAACATGACAAAGTAAGTACACAACACACAACATTTCCCTCCATGATCACTGAATGCAATAATACCTTCATTGATAATTGATCAATGTAATCACCCTACACATTTGGCATTGCAATAATAAATAAATAAATAAATAAATGAACAGATAAATTAATCTTTGTAGAAAAAGAATTATGTTCATGTATGTCTTTATAAGTAAGTGAAATATCCTTGGGTAAAGCAGGCTAGAAGAGTTTTTCTAACTACGTTGAACTTCCTTCCAGGTGATGTTGCTTGGACATAAAGACGGCTACAGTGCAGACAGAATCATGAAAATCACAGTAGTTTTTAACCACTTTGGCCCTGGTCTTGTTCAAAGGATGCCAAGGTGTCACAACTCCTCCTCCTACCTTTGCTCTCTCTGCTCTAATTAGTTTCCAACAACTAATGTATTAAAAAAATTTATTAAATTTTTTTTTTTTTTTTTTTTTTTTACAGGGTCAGGTATGGCTATGCTCATGTCGCTAACAATAGGTACGATGAATATCTAATGTATGCAATTGGGGGGAGCTCTGATCCGACTATATTAAGTGAAGGAAACTATTTTGTAGCTTCAAATGATCCTTATGCTAAAGAAGTATAATTCAACTCAACTTAATTTATTACTTTTCAAAGTTTTAGCTTTTATATTGTTGTGTGATTAATTAGTATTGGTTGATTTGTTGTTTAATAATAGGTTACAAAGAGAGAGACCAATGGAGGATGGAAGAATTGGAAATGGAGGTCTTCAAAGGATGTATTTGAGAATGGAGCTTATTTTGTTCCATCTGGATATGGAAGCTGTGCCCCTCTTTACTCCGCGTCTCAGCTGTTTACCGCTGCTCAAGGATCCTTTGTTCCCATTTTAACCTCTGATGCAGGCCCTCTGCAATGTGTTCCTAGTAGACCATGTTATTAATTTATTTAAAAACATTGCATTGCAATATTATATTTTATACTTCTTGCCAATAATTTTTTTTTTTTTTCTATCGGCTTTTGGTTGTATTTAATACTCCTAAATCTTAAATTTTAGGTATTTCTATAGGCTGATGTGCATTTGCTCGTATTCAAAATATTTCAATCTAACTCTAAGGGTTGTCTCGAGTAGTTGGTGGATTGTGCTCCCCACACAATTGTTCGGGTTTGATTCTTGGAGCCAAACCACAATAAATTTCCCGTGAATTTTTGAGTAATATTTAAGGAATAGTAATCCAAAAAAAAAAAGTTAATATATCAAATTTTAATGATATAAAACTTGTTTACCACCCACTTTGATATAGAACAAATAGTTAAAGAATTCATAAGGAAATTGAACTTGACAGTCAAATAAGAGATCAAGCTGGTGAACAGAAATAAAAAAATGTAATTTTTGGATGAGCTTAGATTCATTTCAAAGGGTGCTGCTTACATCTATTGAATTTCTCTTCATACCCACCTCTCTCACATATACATTTTGTGTTCCCACAAAGTGAGTGTGAAGAGGATTTTAAGAGTATAAATAGAAGGATGTGGCTTCTCTCCAATCCATCATATGGGTTCACTACTAAAAATATAACTTTTTGCGTCCATTCTTTTGCAACTGATTGATTGACCGTCGCAAAAAAACACCTTTTATATCAACATCTCATTTAACATAACCCCCAAATCGTGCTCTTTAACTTGAAAAAAAAAAAAACCAAATCGTATAAAACTTGCCCTAGACCCTTTCACTCTTATTTCCCAAATCTGTGTCGATTTCGCTCTCTCGATTTCGTTCTCGATATTCCTCTCTTGATTTCGCTCTGTTTCTTGTTCTATAAATCGCCATGGTCGTCTGAAGAAGAAACCGGCAACGGTATGAACTCCCCTAACTTCTTTATCTGGTAATCTCTTCGTTCTCCTCCTTTCTCTCTTGAATCTCCTCTTTCTTTGTTTCTTCTTATTTTATGATCTGAATCTACTTCTAGGGTTTGAATCGACGTGTTCACCAATTCTTCTGTTGCATGATGTTGCCTGTCATGATTTTGAAGCGGTTATTTCTTTTTCCTCTTTCATCAATTCTGTTATTTGAATTGCTCTGTTCGGTTATGTGTGTTGAATTTAATCGGGATTGCTAGAATTGATCACCTAAGTTTGTTGATGCTCATGCTCTATTTTTTACCTTCTATTGCTTCAGATTCGTACAATTGATGAGAGGTAATTTTAGTGTTTCGTATATATGTTTGTGATGTCATTGAATAGAAACAATGATGAGATTGAATATATCTTAGCAATCTGTGTGTTTTATCCACAAAACCTAGGATGTCTGAGAAATTCTTTGCATCGAAATAGATTGAATTAATTTTTCTTAGGTTTTGTATCTAGAGAAAATGTTGACAATATGAGAACTCTAACATTTTTTGTCACTTTAGTGTTCATCAAAGAACAAGAGAGAGGGGGGGTGTCGGGGGGAATTAGGCTCAATTGATTTGAATGCATTTCTATTTCTAAACTTTGCACATTCTACTAAAATTTTATGATATATAATACTATCTATTACTGTCTATGGTAGAGACTTTGAGCTCTAAAATTATATAAAAAATTCATATAACTCATCAATGAGAGAGTGAGGGTAGGGAGAGGGTGAGACAAAGAGAAGAGAGCAAGAGTTAGAGAGGTCTGACAGAAGGGGAGAGAGACAGAGAGCCTAAGAGACCAGTGAGAAAGTCAGAGAGAAGTGAGAAGTGCGATGGAGAGATGAGAAGGTTTAGTGACCAAGTGAGATGGTGACTTTCTTTTGAATCAATGAGAATAAGTCATCTATTATTTTTTTACAACAATCAATGAGAATGAGACTTCAGTGGTATTTATGAACAAAAAAAAAAAAAAATGGACCTTCTGTGGGGAGACATATACACCATGTGGTAAAATACTTATGAGCAGAGTTACCTTAAAAAGAGCACCCAAAACTCATCTTAAAAGGAGGTGAGTTTTTTGAATTTATTTCCAGTTGAAAAAGCAGAGGTGTAAATGTGAAAAGCTATACCAAACACTAAAAAATAATAGAATTACTAGTTTTGATATTGAAATTTAATAATTTCTGAACTGTGTATGAGCACCAAAGTCAATTTCGGATATATTAAAAAAAAAGAAAAGAAAGCTGTATTGTTTTATATTTCATAGATTACAGTTACATGACTTTTTTTTTTTTGGACTTAACAGTTACATGGTTTTTTTTTTTTTTTTGACTTAGATCTTATATTGTTCATTTAAACTTATAGGAATAACTGTAGTATGTTCAATTGTAGCTGGCTGGAGTTATTCTATATTGAATTGCTTTTGTACAATAGTGTATTGATTGAAATCGGGAATTTCATGAGTTTGAAGTGTGTAGGAGCTTCGACAAATTTGATTAGTGTGATGAAATGGAAAAAAATGATTCATAAACCCAATCTACTCGATTTGGACAAAAAGCTTAGTTTGGTGTGGTTTGGCTTTTTAAATTGGCGCTTCAGTCTCCGTTTCAGAGTTCTTGCTTGTAGATAATGCTATTAGTTTTTGGCGGGCCCAAGAAGGTATAGTTAAGATATCTCTGGTGTCCTCTATGCTTTGAGGCGTGTATAGCTTAAAGATCAACTTCAGGAAGGCTAGTTGATTTTGCTCTTCCATTCTTCATATATTTTCTTGGTCCTCACAATCTTAATCATTCTAGTCAGCCAAACAATACCATCATTATTTGCCCTCTCGGCCTTACTCATTGGCTTTGAGCTTTGGGCCTTTCTTCTTGGAATGTTATATGACACGTTTTCAATCCTAGCCATGCTTGTAAAGAAGATTAAAATAAAATGCATGCAGTGATAATTTGTTAGATCAATTAAGATTGCCAAACTACAAAACTGATCACTTTATAGTATTATGAATATGTTTAAGGTTACCTGTTTACTCTGTTGCTTGAGTAAAAATCTGACCTCTTCTACGTGCTGTCCTGGAACAAAAGCACCTGATTTAGAAGAAGATGATAAATTGTATGAGGACTTCAATATGGATGAAGTTGACTTGAATATTTAGAACTATGAAGAAATATTTGGTGTAGCTCTTAATGATCCAGAACAACTGTTTGGTAATGATGGAATTGGTAGCTTGTTTGGAGTGAAGGACATATCCGGTGCTGATTTGAACTGTTGAGGCACATATGCAGCTGAGGTACTCTTGCTTTCTCTTATGTTGCTTAATCTTATCCTTATAATTCTCAAGTGTGTTTACTTCAACTCTTCACTGCACAAAATATTTTCTACTGCTTCATGCTCCAGCTTTGATAGCTTTTAAAAAAGAATTAGGGCTTGTTGAATTGGTATTGGGAATGAGGAACTAGCAAATCTTGTCTTCTCATGAAAGGGTAGAGTTACTTAAACTCATTAATGTTTCTTGAAGCTTAGATTCAAGAGGTCAAGCCTCAAGTTAGTACGAGCTTGGCATTCATTAACTTGAGGGAGTGCTTATTGAAATTTTCTCAAGAAACTGTTTTCTCCTTTTACAAATTGTTTAGTTATTTTCAAAAAGATGTTATAAGTTGAACCATTGTAAAGTTAGTATAAATCATGGAATTTCCACTTTCTCTTGATGCTTTGTATCATTAATTTATCACACTTTCTATATATTGGAGAGTATGAATCAAACGCCACCTGTGGGAAGAGATTATCATCTATTGGCCTGGACAACACTAAAGTGAACAGGCAGGCTTATAGACAGCTTTTGTTGACTAATCCTGGCCTGGGTGAGTATATTTCTGGTGCGATTCTGTTTGAGAAGACACTTTACCAGTCAACAACAGACGGGAAGAAGTTTGTGAATTGCTTGCGTGAGCAAAACATTGTACCTGGAATCAAAGTCAATAAGGTATGCTTTCTCGTTCAAGTTAATTACACTAAACCTTTCTTTATATCCTTGTCTTGTTAATTTAACTCTCCCACTTTTTACACATGTTTTCAGGGTTTAGTTCCCCTACCAGGGTCCAACAATGAATCTTGGTGCTAGGGATTAGATGGATTGGCTTCTAGATCTGCCGAATACTATAAGCAAGGTGCTCGTTCAAGTCAATAAGGTATGCTTTCTCGTTCAAGTTAATTACACTAAACCTTTCTTTATATCCTTGTCTTGTTAATTTAACTCTCCCACTTTTTACACAGGTTTTCAGGGTTTAGTTCCCCTACCAAGGTCCAACAATGAATCTTGGTGCTAGGGATTAGATGGATTGGCTTCTAGATCTGCCGAATACTATAAGCAAGGTGCTCGTTCAAGTCAATAAGGTATGCTTTCTCGTTCAAGTTAATTACACTAAACCTTTCTTTATATCCTTGTCTTGTTAATTTAACTCTCCCACTTTTTACACAGGTTTTCAGGGTTTAGTTCCCCTACCAAGGTCCAACAATGAATCTTGGTGCTAGGGATTAGATGGATTGGCTTCTAGATCTGCCGAATACTATAAGCAAGGTGCTCGTTCAAGTCAATAAGGTATGCTTTCTCGTTCAAGTTAATTACACTAAACCTTTCTTTATATCCTTGTCTTGTTAATTTAACTCTCCCACTTTTTACACAGGTTTTCAGGGTTTAGTTCCCCTACCAAGGTCCAACAATGAATCTTGGTGCTAGGGATTAGATGGATTGGCTTCTAGATCTGCCGAATACTATAAGCAAGGTGCTCGTTCAAGTCAATAAGGTATGCTTTCTCGTTCAAGTTAATTACACTAAACCTTTCTTTATATCCTTGTCTTGTTAATTTAACTCTCCCACTTTTTACACAGGTTTTCAGGGTTTAGTTCCCCTACCAAGGTCCAACAATGAATCTTGGTGCTAGGGATTAGATGGATTGGCTTCTAGATCTGCCGAATACTATAAGCAAGGTGCTCGTTCAAGTCAATAAGGTATGCTTTCTCGTTCAAGTTAATTACACTAAACCTTTCTTTATATCCTTGTCTTGTTAATTTAACTCTCCCACTTTTTACACAGGTTTTCAGGGTTTAGTTCCCCTACCAAGGTCCAACAATGAATCTTGGTGCTAGGGATTAGATGGATTGGCTTCTAGATCTGCCGAATACTATAAGCAAGGTGCTCGCTTTGCAAAGTGGTAAGGCTCCAAAAGAATAGTAGTACTAGTTTCAATTGACATGGAAGAGTATCTCTCTCTTAAAGCAGATGATGAAATCAGAAGATGTCTGTAATCTCAAGAGTTGCTGCTCTTCTTCCGGCTCTGTAACAAGACTATGAAGGATTCTTAGAATTAGAACTATGATAACTTCAAATGTTCTTTGTAATTGCAAGAGATGAAAAACCTTTGTAGGATTCTTTCAGGAACTCCTTGTTATTGTTGTACATTGTTTTTTTTTTTGTTGTTGAAGAAAGAGAATTTTATTAAGGGAAGAAATGGAAAATAATGCATGAATGTTGAGATTTTTGCAAATGTCTTTACGTTTTTGTATATAATATTTGAATATATACATATATGATTGTAGGTATTTTTTTTTGTTTTTTTTTGCGACAGAAGATGGTCGCTAATACCTTGTAGGCATTTTTTAAACTCTTTTGCGACGGCAAATTAACAGTCGCTATAAGTAGGTTAGGCGGTTGCAAATAATTTGCGACTGCTGTTTTGCGGTCGCAAAAAGTATTTGCCACCCCCACATTCGCAACCCTCATTTGCCGTCGCATGGGCCGTCGCAAAAAGTCTTTTGCGACTGTTTTTTATTATTTGCGACGGCTTGTAGCGGTCGCAAAAAGTACTTTTTTTAGTAGTGGTTGGAGGGTTTTATTTGGAACCGTACAGTTTATTACAGTTTATTTATAATTCATAAATAAATAAACAAATAAGATTGATCCTATATTGGTTGCCCATTCATTTATTGCATTTGTAACAAAAAAAAAAATACATGATTTATTTTTAAAAACATACTGACAGGTTATTTTTTGAAGATAAACACAATAAAATGAATAGATTACAAATATCGAATTAAGTTTTTTTTTTTTTTTTATGGATGATAAACACACATGACTTGACAAAATAAATAATTTAAATTATTAAAATAATTTCCGTAATGAACCTCATGGACCATGACAACAGCCTCCCGCCCAACCCTAAATAGAATCACTTTGTTTAAAAATTGATCGTATATGGTTGGAAATAAAATAGCATACTAGATGGTTTTGGGCTATGTTCTGTGCAGTCACTCTGAGCCTGGATCAGGACCAGGCACAAAGCATATGGGCTGACAAATAGGTATGCAGCAAAATCAAAGATAAAATGGGCCTTTTCTTAGTAACTAGATATATATTAGGTAGCCCAATAGGACCCATTCATATCAGTGACAAATTAGGTAGACCACTTCCGATGCGCCCAATTAGTCATCCATTTCCTCTTGACGAGCCTGAGCCCTTTCTCAACCAGAATACCTTACCGAACAGTAAGGCTGGTTTGGTTCATAGATTTAAAGACAGATTTAGAAAATAAAATAAAAAAGATTTGTGCAACATAAGTGAAATGTACTTATATTTTATTTACTTTTTTTATTTTTCTTTTTAAATTTGTGTCTAAATTCATAAATCAGACACAACCTAAAAGAGGTATTCACAGATCAAATTGATCTAGTTTTATGATAAATCAAGAACTGACTCAGTGGAAACCGGTTCGGTTCTACAACTCTACAGGTTTAATATAATAAGAAATATAATATATATTTTATAATAATAAACATATTAACAATAATTAATTTAGTTAAATTCATTAGAGTTTGACATTTTTACAATCAATGACTATGTTCAAATAATAATACATAAATGAAAGGGTAATGTTACGTATCATGAAATAAATATCATGAAAAACATCATGAAACTAATCCAAGGGTGAATGCATAACATACAATAAAACACTACAAACACTATAATCTAATCCAAAGGTAGAGAATCTTCATGAAAACTTTTCATGACATTGTTTTTATGATACCTAGCATTATTGTAAATGAAATGTCAGATACCTCTAAATTTACCCATTCCACATCATTGAAGGAATTTTTGGGGGATATCAACCATTTTTGGACAAATTTTAGTCTCGGTGTCATTTTGGTTATATAATTTTAATTTATTTGATTTTAACTTTAAATTTATAATCTTAATTTAGTCCAATTGAATATAATTATTATTATTTTTTAATAGAAAATACAAATATAAGTGACATGCGTTGTGATTTTAGGAGTAAAATTATAAGTTTGTTTAATTTTATGAATTAATCTCAACTAATTATATAATTATTAAAATATATATATATATATATATATATATATGTATTAAAAGCTGTAGAGAACGCCCAAAAGAGTAGAACTCGTAGAGGTTCAACTTTCCAAATTGTCCATTATTACGAAATAGGTGTGAAAAGCATATAAAATTCCTATCCTCTGTGAGCAAAAGTCAATTGCTTTTCCACAACTTTGACCCACCCATACAGGTTGAAACCCAATCATGCATGCATGCATGCATCCAAATTTCAACTTTAAACAGCTTTGACATCAAATCAAATCAAATCATAATTTACACTACACGGACCACACACGTATACAACACTCATCTGACACTGCATCCCTCAATAGTTTTAGCTTTTCTGGTTATTTGAAATAATTTAAATAAATATTTTTTTTATTTTTTATAAAAAAATTTATAAGAAAGTAAAGAGATGATATGATTTAAAAAAAATAAAAAAATATATTTATATAATATACTCCAAACAAAGAAGTTGAATATAATATTTATGTAGAAGAATTGAAATAATTTAACATCGCTGATTATACGTTTGAATCATATTTATTTTAAAAAAAATAGACAAGTATAATTTCAATAATAGTCATTCATTTTTTTAAAATATAAATTTGATTCAAATATATAATTATCAATATTCAATCATTTTAATTTTTTATATGAATATTCTACTCAACGAATTTTAAAAATTAAATGATTCAAATCACCAAAATTGATCATAAAAAAATCTATTAAACCCAAACGTTCCTCAAATTAAAATGACTAACCTGAGGAAAGCCTGACTTCCTTAAAATCCTATCTCTTTTTTCCTTTCTTTCAATTACTTTGCGCGTGCAATTAACTTTATCTGCCTAAAATTAGTAAGTTAATTTTTTTTGAAATATATATGTTTAGTTTTTTTTTTTTCTCTAAAAAAAAAATTTTTTTAGACTCTACAAACTTAAACTCGTAGAGTGACCTTATCTATAAAAAATTTAAGAATCACCACCAACTATCATCCCCGTAGCCATCACCTCTACCACTACACGACTACCATAACTATCACTGTGATTTTCACCGTCACCGACAACCCACAACCATGCCATCACCTCCATTTCTACCTTCGTCTCACCATAACCATTATTATAACCAAATAAAAAAAATTTAAAAAAAATAATATTAATAATTTGTTAAAAAAATTATTTTTCACTCAAATAAACGAACAGCATGTTATATATCTTAGTTTCACATAAGCATATCCAATGATTTCCATATATTAGTTTCACATGAGCATATCCATATCTCTTTGTAACTATATCACATGCTCATTCATATCTCTTTATATACCGTATCATATTTTGCTTGTATTTATCTCCATTGACTGGAGTTATCTAACGATGTATCTATAACATCTATAAAAGAATGAAAGGTGCTGAATCTCACACAAAAGGTCAAAATAATGAATCTAACACAAAACGTTAAAATAATGTCTAATTGTCCAAAATTGCCTTCTCTTTGTGTAGTTTAATTCTCTACGGTTTAAAAAAATTATAATTAGATTAAATCATTAAAATTATTGAATCAATTTGACCCAAATTATTTAAACACAATTTGGCTCGATTTGGACTTACATTTTTACATAATTTGTTTCTAAAAAAAATCATATAACATTATCAAAAAAATTTAACTTATCATCAATTTGAAAAATAATAATAATATACCCATCACACAGACTACTCTTATAATATTCAACAATTAAGCAAAAACTTAACATTAAGCAAACATTGTTTAACATTAAAAAAACTTAATATTTAACAAATAAACA